TAGCACAGTGGGAAATAAAAATGGTCATTAAGAGCATGGGGGCTTGGAATTAGATAAATACAGATTCAAGTCCTGGTCTGTCACTTGCCAACTGAATAATCTTGGGCAAGTCCAGAGGGTTTGTTTGATTCAGTAGTTCTCTGGTATCTTCTGAAAACATCTTTAGAATAAAAAGATATGAAAGGTCTCCTATATTATTCAGATAACCAGTCAGGGCTGGGAACCTGTGCACATGAAACCCTTGGAAATCTTGCTAAAATGCAGATTCTGATTTCAGTAGGTCTGGGGTGGGGGCTGGGACTCTGCATTTCTAACAAGCTCCCAGTGGAGGCCAATTCTTTTGTTCCATGGATCACACTGTGAGTAGCAAGCTAGAGAATTTTACTCGTTGACACATCTGTGAGTGTTTAATTTGGCAGCTGCTTTTTAAAGCCTATCCTATTCCAGTTAAAAAAAAAATTATTATTGCAACATGAAAAAAAGTATGCACTGTATGCCATTATGGTCTTTAACACCTACTGGTTACCCATTTCCAAGAAGAGTATACTTAGGATAGCACAAAATGTAGAAGGTGCTGTTGTTTGGATTTAGGATAATAGGAGATAGGTGATGGTGACCGGGGAAAGAATATACAAAACCACTATCTAGAGAATAGCTTTTATGAACTAAATATGCCATATTGGGAAGAGAGGTGACACATGGGTGGATAATAGAATCTGGCTTGCAAAACTCTGTATCTCCTGTTTCTAGCATATGACTCTTCTTTTGTGATAAACATGTCAACTAAAACGTGCCTCTGTTGCAGTGAAGTGTGCCACAAACAAGCCAATGTTCTTTGCTGAGAAGCTTCATCAGGCCATGAAGGTAGGATTCTACTTATATGATTTCATGAGGGGAAAAATTATTGTTGGTGGAGAGAATGTAAAACCTCATATGGTTTGAAAATTACACTTATTTTAATAATCTTCCCATTAAAAAGAATCACTGTTCCATCCAATGAAAGAGGTAATACACTTCCTTATTAGAATAAAATTGTTAGATTTGTTGTATTTTTTTATAGGTAAGATGGTAAGGTGTGCTTGTAGTTAATTTGTGGGTTACTCATGATTTGCATAAAACCTAAGCAAAGGAAGGGTGATACACTTTCTCTTTAATGTGTGATTTTAGTTACCTACTTCTGCTAAGTTTTACAGTGTTTCCCATTCTAAGTTTTATAATCTTTCCCATTTAAGTTTCATTTGCATTTTTATGATTCTGTCTTCCATGTCACGGATTAGTATGCCATGCTAAGATTTTAAAATGTTATCTTAAGATTACTGAAGTATAATAGAAGGTGTTATTAAGATGTATTGAGACACACTTCAACCACTTTAACTTTATCCTCTAGCATTCATCATATTATATAGGCTGCCACCTGTATACTCATATTGTGCAAAGTTATGAAGTTGTCTTTTTTCCTTTAGTAACTCCAAAATAAGGAATCCTTTAAAGGGGGACCTAACCATTCAATTAATAGGAAAGAATCCTTGTGAAATGATAGGCAATGCGCCGTTACATAGTAGGCAGTACAACCCCAGACCCCATGTCATCTCTTATCTAGCGGGGTAATTCAGTGGGTCATGATGAATACCTAGTATTGTGAAGAGTAGAAGAGGGACCTGTACCCTAGATTTTGGAAATCAAGACAGCCTTGCTGTCAGCTAAACTAAAATCTGAAAGTGAACAGGAATTAGCCAGATGAGACAGGGGTGGAAGAGAAGGAGGGATAAAGTAAGGTTGGTCCAAGAGGAGGACACAGCATTACCCTTTCAAGATAATAAATACAATTAGGATGATGGTGCATAGTGAAAGAAAAGGCTGTAGAATTAGGCAGGGCATTGTAAACCCAGATAAAATGATTGGTTTTCATCCTAAAAGAAGCAGAAGATCATTGAAGGGTTTCAAATAGATGAATTCGATGATCAGATTTGCAATTTAGATAGTTCACTTTGTAATTATTGACCAGCTTAGACAAAGGAAAGGCTGAATGGTGGAAGACCAATTAGGAGGATGTAAAAGCTCTTAACATACCGCTGTAGCAGTTGGGTTCTTGTCATTTTATCACTATTTGTGTTAGTGTGTGTGTTAATGTAGAGATAGTTTCTCCATAGAAACTATATGTGTGAACAAAAGAGCTGCATGTTCAAACCCATATTCTGATTTATTAAGAGTATGCTCTGACTATGAGAAACACTTAACCATCATTTGTTTTGGACAGGGTGCTGGAACACGTCATAAGGCATTGATCAGAATTATGGTTTCCCGTTCTGAAATTGACATGAATGATATCAAAGCATGCTACCAGAAGCTGTATGGTGTCTCTCTCTGCCAAGCCATCCTGGTATGTGGAGAATTACATTATGCTACCCCTACAAATGATAATGCTTTTTGCAACTTCTTCAAAGAGAAAGGCTGACTTACTGTATCTGTAAATTTCATATGTAAGATTAATTTGTTATATTAGGATACATAACTTATAAGTAAATTTAACTTTCACTGGTAAAATTTACTGGTGAATTCTGTACTGAAAATATATGCAAATTTTTCAGCAATCACAGAAATATTTAGTTTTCCATATATAAGTTTAGCAACCTAAACATTTTAGTAGGGAGATATAATTATTTATTTTGCAAAAAATATTGATCAGAGTGTAAGAAACTTACACTAAGTTTTTTCTTAATTTGTCACATGTAAAATGTATAAAATGCATGTTCATATGGTCTTATTATAATGTTAATAAATAAAAATAAAGACAAGTCAAGGGTTTTGAAGTTATTGAAAGATAGGAAGCTATTTAAATGAAATTCATTGCTTATAATGAATAACTAAAATCTACCAAGAAAAAGTAAGACAATTATAAGCTTATAACTTTCTCTCTGGTGAGTGAGTCAGATATTCCTCAAAGTGACCTGAAATGATATTGTGTTATATTTGCTTAATTCTGTGTGACATTTTATTCTTGGAAAATAATAGCTCTAATACACAGCATGATCATTCAGAGAAGTTTATAATTTGAATCTTGAAAGCTATTGCTTTAATATAATAATCAATTAACAAGTATCAGTTATCTGCTATAAGAATTATATTATTTAATATATAATATTATTATCAAAGATCTTAGATAATCGATGTATTGTGATATATGTTCTACAACTTTTAAGTCTACTAATACAATAATTATACTATAATTGAAAAATACCTGTACCTTATACTGATCATGGTTTCAGGTGGCATTAAGAATACTCTATTTTTTAATTAACAGGATGAAACCAAAGGAGATTATGAGAAAATCCTAGTGGCTCTCTGTGGAGGACAGTAAACATTCCTGTGATGATGTCAAGTTTTTTGATCAGGAGATTTTGTATTCATGTCTTTTCATTCCATATTATAGATTTAAATAGGAAAGTTTCTTCAGTAGGATTAGTCTAGCTTAACTGCCTTCTGAAAACTATAGCCTATAAATCATTTTTGTATCACAAATCTGTATAGTAGAAATGTTTTTAAAAAATATATTTACCCCAACTATAAAACCCCATAAACAGCTTGTTCTAGTAACATTACCTGAGAAAGGTGTCTATGTAACAGAAAATAAAATGATTTTACATGACAATGGGTGTGTCACTGGTATTTCTATTTTGATTTTCTTCTGTGTGTAATACAGTGATTTAATTTGATGTAAAAGGTCAGGAGCCTCAATCCTAAATTACAGTCATTTAATGAAATAGATATTACATAGTAAATTAAACTATTCACCGAGTTAAAAAAGTGGACTCCTTATATTTTATCATCTTGGTACAGATTTTTGAGAGAGTGTCTCTGTACACTAATTGATTTATTGCATCGGCATTATAACAATTGAAAATTCTGCAATATTTCATGTATCAGTATAAAGATGAAATGGCAACAACAATAGAAATTCCTTTTTAAAGAATGGTAGTTGCATGTTTAGTTTTTTTTAAAAACTCAATTTTTTCCAGAGTGGCTGTACTATTTTACTTTTTCACAATACATATATACATGATCTGGTTTCTCTACAATTTTTCCAGCATTTGGTACTGTTGCAATTTTGTATTTTGACATTATTTATTTTTTTATTGTTGAGTTTTGAGAATTCTTTATATGTTCTACATACTAGTGCTTTGTCAAATATGTGGTTTGCCAATATTTTCTCTCAGTTTGTAGCTTGTCTTTTTATCCTCTAAATAGAATCTTTCTCAGAGCCAATATATTAAATTTTAATGAGGTCCAAGTTTAAATTTTTTCTTTATTGATTTTGCTTTTGGTGCCACTTCTAGATTCTTTACTTAACCTTAAATCCTGGAAGTTTTCTCCTGTTTTTTTCCCCAAAAGTTTTATAGTTTTCCATTTTACTTTTTAGTTTGTAATCCATTTTGAAACATTTTTTTTGTTTAAAGTGTGAGACTTAGGTCAAGGTTATTTTTGTTTGGTTTTAGCTTGTGGAAGCCCAATTGCTTCCCCACCATTTGTTGAGGAGGCTATCTTTTGTCCATTGAATTGCTTTTGTACTTTTTTCAAAAAATCAATTATCTTCCTCTGACAGTATTCTTACCACATAGGTAGTATTTATTTATTCATCCCCAAAAGAATTGAGTTGGGTATTTGAATTTCTGACAATCCTCAGCTGCATTCACTTGATTGTAACTATTTGCTTTGATAGTTCTCCTTTAATTTCTTCCATGTACACCTGTCCCGTGCATTCTATTGAAAAATTATGATGACTTAGTCCATAATATGTCAGCCAAACTGATGCTGACAGATATGCTCCTTATTACAGTCCTTGAATTTTTTTAGCTTTTTTACTATTATATAAAATACCTCCCTCGTGAGCTTGTTTAAGAAAGAGAAGCACCTAAGTGGGAAATCAGAGGGAACCTGGGGAAGGTACATTGAGGCAGGATGGATTTTTATCATTACTATTCTAAAAATATTTCTGTCAGTCAATATTGCATTCATACTTCTTCCTTTTCCAAATTAATTTTAAAGAACCGCCCAAGGGAGCTATTCTCTCTCTGTCCTCCTTTCCATCCCCATTCTTTGTTCTTTTCTGCTTTTTTTTGGAAGACACCATTGGACGAATTCATCATGCACGCTCTCTTGCCTTCTAACCTCTGGCTGAACTCAACCCATGAGGGAACCTGGTAAAAGATGGGCAATCCGGAGGAGGTATTTCTTCTACTTCCTCCTTGATTCTATACAGATTTATTAGCATTTGTGTTCTGCAATTACAATTTCTTCTCAATGGCTCCAGCTCTCAACACTTTTCTATACTTGCTCCTTGGGCCCTGGGATTCCCACTGCTGTTGCTCCTAGGGTGCTGCAGCTTTCCACGTTGGTTCCTTTAACCTGCTCACACCTCTATAAGTAGTCCCTTAATTAAAACTGTCATCAAAATTCCCAGCTTGGTGTACCAGCCACTTATTACTAGGTCCCTTTCCAAAGGTGCTAAATGACTTATTTTATCAAAAACTACTTGAGAGGCTCCTGATTAAATTCCAGACATTAGGATAGGTAAGTGGATACACAGTTGAATAGGAGAGTAATAGCGACAGAAAAAACATTTAAAAGACAAAAATAGAGAGCTCCCCACAATCTTTGAAAAAATTGTTAGACTTCATTAAACAACAACAAAACCTTCTGCTCTGTAAAAGATGCTGTTAGGAGAATGAGAAGACAAGTTACAAACTGGGAGAAAAATCTTTGTAAACATTATTTGATAAAGGACTGATACCTAAAACATACAAAGAACATGTACAATTCAACAATAAGAAAACAAATAACCTAATTTTTAAAGTGAACGAAACATCTGAACAGGTACCTCACCAAAGATATTCAGATGGCAAGTAAGCATATGAAAAGATACTCAACATTATATGTCATTAGGAAATTGCTAATTAAAACAACAATGAGATACTACTACACAACTATTAGAATGGCTAAAATCCATTTCATGTGGAACAACAGGAACCCTCTATCGCTTTTAGAGATATAAAATGGCACATCCATTTTGGAAGACAGTTTTGGCAGTTTCTTACAAAGTTAAAGTGTCATTGTAAAATTTAGTAATCACACGGCTGGGTATTTAACCAAATTAGTTGAAAAATTTTGTGTCCACAAAAACTTGCACACAAATGATTGTAGCAGCTTTATTCATATCCACAATTTGGAAGCAACCTAGATGTCTTGCAAAAGATGAATGAATAAACAAACTGTGGTACATCCATACACTGGAATATTATTCAACAATGGAAAGAAATAAGCCATCAGTTCATGGAGGAAAAGACACAGAGGATCTTAAATGCATATTGCTGAATGAAAGAAGCCAATGAGAAAAGGCTGCTATAATCATACTATATGATTCCAACTATATGACATTTTGAAAAAGGCAAAACTACGGAGATATTAAAAAGATGAGTAATTGCCAGGAGTTGGGGGAGGTAGGAAGGGATAAAAAGGTGAAGCACATCACATTTTTAGAGTAATTAAACTATTCTGTAAATATTGTTCTGGTGGATACATGCACTAGGCATTTGTCAAACTTACAGAACTGTACAATACAGAGAGTGAGTCTTATATAAACTATGAATTTTAGTTAATAATAATGTATCAATATTGGTTCATCATTTCTTCTGCCACATTAGTTTGGTTACAGGCAAGTCACAGAGTGCTCAGATTTAAAGGGAGGTTAATTACATTTCACCTCTTAAAGGGAAAGTGGCAAGATCTTAGATGATTTGGGAAAGAATCGAGATATTGTGACGGCTATTTTTGCAAAAGGTAACGTGCCATGTGTACAATGATAGCATGTCATTACATTACGTGTAACATTGTTTGCAATATCTTACACAGAATGCCTATGCAAGTTCATAAATTGTCATTGCTTAAAAAAAAAGAAAGTTGTGAGTCTCCTATTCTAATTATTTTAAAACAAGAAATAGATAACCACCTTGGGAACTATTTTATTGGGGTGTTGAAAATGCATGTTCAATTTATTGACTTACCTACTCTGTAGTTCAAAAGATCACACACAGTAAATGAGGGTTGACAGTTATTATGATTTTTTTTTCTTTGTGAAAGTCATGGAACATTGCTAGCAAAGAAGAGGAAGAAGACATTTATGAATATTTGCTAAGCGTTCACTATAATATGAGGGCAAAGTGGTACAGAGGGTAGAGACTTGGGAGCCAAAACCATCTGAGTTTTAACCAAGTCTTCAACACTTATTAATTGACTGTGAAGATACTAATTACCTTTCCTCAGCTATAGTTTTTCATCAGTAAAATACTACTACCACCTGCCTTACAGAGTTGCTATAAAGATTGGACATAATGGAGTCAAAATGACTGACAATAAGTGCCTAAGAAATTGGAGGGACTACTGACATTAAGCCACCTAAAAGAAAGTGAAAAAAAAAAATCAGTTTCCAAACACTAAGATAATTGGCAATGATAGGTCAATCAGTCAATAAGACTGGATGAATTTTTATTTTTTATCTACTTCTTTTGCTATAGATGACACAGATCTTGTGATTAAGCTTAGATTAAGCTAATTCTTAGCTCCAAACTAAAATGACTTTAAAAAAATTGAATGGTATGAAAACAAAAATCTTGTACTGGTATTAGTGTATGTGCTTCCAGCTGAGCCAGAAACACAGTAAGAGAAAGGGCTTTTAGTATCTGGAAACTCAAAATGCAGTCATGTGGAAATGATCCCTTTCTTAGCCAAAGTGACCCACCTTCCCTATCCTTTCTTTAGCTTTGATGTGTAAACAATGCACTTTCTTCCAATTATTACCACTGTTTACTTTTTGGCTTGGGAGAATGATTCAGAGAGGAAAGTTCCTTCACAGCCATAATTCACAATTAGTCAGGCTGCTTGATTCAGATCTCAGCCCCATCATTCATTGACTGAGGTGTGGCCCTTTGACCTTCTCTGTGCCTCAGTTTACTCATAAAATGAGGATACTGATGGCTGTGAGGGAAGCAGAGTTTGCCACTCCCAAATATGCCTTCTTTGGGGATATTATTTTAAGCTAGTTATTAAAAAAAAAAAAAGACTCAGGATGAACTTGTGACCTTCCTTGAAACTGCCTAAAAGAATTTAGATAGAAATTCTAAATAGGATAGGATAGGAAGGGAGCTGGTGTCTCAGATAGCTACAATTTAGCATGAACTAAGTGTGGCAGACAGGGAGGAACCTAGCAAGTCTGTTAGATCGTCTTCTGTGTTCCACTGTTTCTGGGTGGCCCAGCAAGAATTTGTTTACCAAATGTTGGCTTTCTCATCCACGTGTGCGTTGCCTACCTCCTCTTTGAAATCCAAACCACTATCCCTTCTCCTTAGCTCATGGTGGCACATAAGCCTCAAAGCCTGATTTGTCCTTGGGCCCCATACTCTTATGAAACCCCATATGTATAATATGTAAATAAATTTTGTTATTTTTTCCTGTTAATCTGTTTCATGTCAATTTGATGATTACACCAGTCTGAAGAACTAAGAGGAAAAGGGGAAATTTTTCCCACTTCCACGCTGTGACAAAAACTAAATGAGATACTCAAGTGAAGGGAAGCAAAATTTTGTCACCCAGAAGCGG